AACGAGAAGAGAGACGAGCAGAGACAGAGAGAGAGATGAGAAAGACGAGAAGAGAGGAAAGAGAAGAAGATGAGAGGAGAGAGAGAAGAGAGACAGAGGAAGAGAGAGAGAAGACAGAGACGAGAGAAAGAGAGACACAGGGACAGAATAAATGAGGAAAAGAAGGCAGAAGAGAAGAGAACCACAGAAAGAGCAGATGAGACAGTAGAAGTAGAGACTGAGAGAGAACAAGGAAGAGAGAGAGAAGAGGAGAGGAATAGAGAAAAAGAAAAGAACATGGAGGGAAGAGAGAACATGAAGAGCACAGAAACAACGAAGAGGAACAAAAAGAGGAAGAGCCCGAAAGAGCACACAGAGGAGAGAAAGTAGATATAAGGAAAGGAAAGAAAGAAAAAGAAAGAAAGAGAGAGAGAGAGAGAAGAGAGGAGAAGAGAGAAGAGAAGAGAGAAAGAGAATAAGAGAAGAGTACAGAGGGTAGGAAGAAGGATGAAGAGAAGAGAGAGAGAGGGAAAGAATTGAAGCAGAAAGAAAAAAGAGAAGAAAGAGAGAAGAGAGACGAGAGTAGAGAGAGAGAAAGAGTAGAGAGACTGAGAGAGAGAGAGAGAAGAGAGGAGAGAGAGAGAGAGACTGGACAACGAGAGATAGGATAGATAGATAGTAAATAGCATAGGATAGCATTAGAGTAGAGAGAAAAGATTGAGCATCTGAACACGGAGAGATAGATAGCAATATATATATATAGAGAGAGAGCCATGGGTGGTAAAGGGACATGAAAATGCGAGTATAACAACAAAACCAGACGCAACTTCCGAATAGAAGGACAGGCATGCACGATATAATACACGTATGACTCAGATAATTCCTCTCGTACTTAATATACTAAATATAAAATTTACTGCTATTAATTTTGGCTAACACACTACTGGAACAAATGCATAAATTTCAGCAATACTGGCGTCTATCACAATATTATTTCTAACCTTAATACATCGATGAGATGATCCCCTTGCGTAGAAGAAGTACTAGATATTAGTATGGCTTAATTTAGTATGGAGCGAGAGCCAAAGCAGTAAACATTTGCAATACATTTTGTTGATTCTTATTTTATTTATCTCCAAAGGTGGTGATTAGGCGCGAGGACGAGAGGGAAGTTATGTGTGTGTCGTCTGTGTGTGACTATGCTCGAACGTTGCAGATATCATAACAACTTCTATCACTTCTTAAGGCTATCAGTTTAAATAACACAGCCCTACGGAACGGCACCCACAACAAAACTGCACTATTTCGATATCCAGACATTGATAGATGCACTAACTCCATACACTATCCATTCTCTCTCTCCATCGTCCCTCACACTCCCACCCCCTCGGCGACTTCACTCAGCAATACATGGCGCAACCAGAATACCACTACCTCCACTACTTCGGTCGATACCGTCACACTCAAAAAAAACATACTAATATAATACTAAAATATTAACGATTCACTACATCTAACCTCACTAGGAATAGATGGCCACAACGCCAGCACAACTGCACCAATGTTTCACTCCATTCCGCCGATCGCTCCGCCTCCATATGTAAATTGGTCGGTGGTCCAGGCTGCGTCGGCCGAAGCTAAGGCTACGGGGTTCGCGAGGAGGCTAGCCAACAGCAGATACCGAACCCGGCGGACCCAACAACCTTGATCTAACTCTGCACACACTACGCCCAACACGAAACGTGTGTGTGTGCTGTGTGTGTGGGTGTGTGTGTGTGTGTGTGGTGGTGTGCCGTCGTGTGTGTGTTCGTGTGTGTGTGTGTTGTGTGTGTGTGATGTGTGTGTGTCATATCTACTCGTCCCACGAGGCGTTCACGTCTTGAGCCGGCGACCAAGCATGCGCAAGTGATCCGTGTTTTCGTGAGGTTGTCGTCTGTCAACGGGCATGTGCTGTAGTTGGTGCGTGCCGTGCGATCGCCCGCCACTGAATCACGAGCCCCCCATGCCGCGATGGGGCGTGTAGTACACACAGCACACACACTACTGTAATACTATATATACCTATATATATATATGGTATCTGTATATAGTATACAGTATAAACCATACCTTAACTATACACGCCCTAAATGGCGACGCGTGTCCTTTAAACTACATCAGTACCATATATTTGCATATAACTAGACACCGGAGGGAAGGCGAATGGTATGAGTAGCAACCATGGGTGCGGTTGCGGACGTATACATATAAACCATATATGCTATATAGTAATACTATACGAACTATATATATACCCAGAACCTATATATAATATATATATATTATATATACTAAACATACACCCATAACAGAATACCTATACAGTATAAGTCATAATATATATTATAATCTAAATAAACGACTAAATATAACATATTATATACACATAAATATAACCACATAAAAATATATCCGTGTAAATACAGTATAAAGTATATAGCCCCATCTATAACCTATATACCCTAGTAAATATAATTATAGTTATATATATACTGCGGCATACGTTGAGTAAATATGTATATACTACTACATATGAAAAACAAAGCTATCCCATGTCCTGACAAAATGTAGAAAAAAAGTATGACATGAGACTGGATATTCTTCCATCAATGCCACCAAAAGACCCGTGTATTTAAATACATCTCATTCATACCCTTTTCTATACATATACAGAATATACATATCCCCAGCATACAGCGATGGCGTGTGCGATGGTGCGTATCCGCGTGTCACACACTATGTGTGTGTGTGTGTGTCTGCCTTGTGTGTGGTAAGCTGTGTGTCGCTGTGTGTGGTCGTCACGCTCATACAATTGTGTGTGTGTGTGTGTGTGTGCTGTGAGTGTGTGTGTGTGTAACCGTAGTCGTGTGATGTATCGTGCCAGAAGATCCGAGAATGTGTTGCCTTTGTTGGCCAACGGCAGAATGTGGAAGGCTGTGTGTGTGTGTGTGTGTGTAGTGCAGTAGAGCTTGTGCTGCAATACGTGTGTGTGTGTGTGGGTGTGACTGGTGTGTGTGTGTGTGTGTGTGTGTGTGTGTGTTGTGTGGTAAGTGCGTGTGTGCGTGTGTGCGTGCGCGTGTGTGCATTTATACATATATGCATGTATGTATATATGTATGTGTGTATGCGTGTTTACGCGCATGCGTGCGTGAGCTTGTAGCATGCAACCCTCTCGCCGTCGCCCTTGCCAAGGTAAACCGCCAAGCCTTTCCCAAAGACCTGTCAAGCTGTCAGTCAAGAGGCTCTTCCGCCCGCCACCAGGAGCATCAGCATGCCAGCCGCATGCATCATGTCACCGGCAGCCAACCTCACAAGAAGTCTACGATTTAGTGAATCTACGACATCACTTGTGAGATGCTGGACTTTACTCCGTCCATCTTAAAAGGTCTCAAAACTTTTTAAAAACATAATGATATGGATATATCTGTTAATATATTCTTACCTATTTCCATTGCAAGATATATAAACAAATATATCTTTTAGTGATTCAATGCATTCGTTCTTATGTTCTGTATAATATGTTATTTCTCATATCAAAATACACCTTTTGCACTGCGGACTGATGTATCATGACTTCATAAGAAGTAAAAAAAAATATTACGACTAGACTACTTGCCAAAATTACACATAAAATACTAACTGAATCTGAAACTAACTGGATTAGTAATAGTAAGAATCGTATCGAAAACAATAAAGAAAATATGAGTGAATGATGGGTAATGATGATGGCGATGATAATGAATGAAAAATGACAATA